ATGAATAACTAATATTAAAATTTTAAATTATATATTTTATATTTTATTGTATATTTATATACATAAAAGTAAAAAAAATAATAATTATTTTGTATATAAATTTTGTACTATAATGTGTTATTAGCATTGTATCACATAATAAATATTTATCAAATAAATATATGTACATAATTTTTATTTTTAAAATAAAAAGATTATTATTATTTATCAAGTGGGGTTGACCCGCTTGAGTCGATGCCCAAGCCGACCGTGTTAATGACAGGTTGGCCGGGCCCGGGTCTACTACAATAAAATGATGAAATTCCAACGGAAAATTCTTATAATAGAATGATTCCAACGGATATTTCAATATTATTATTTCCGTTGGAATTTTTCAATGGATTCCAGCGGAAATTCCAACAGAAATATTCCGTTGGAATGAGTTTTCCATTGGAATTTTCGTTGGATTTTGGCGATTCCAACGGTGGATTTTCCAATGGGGGTGGAAATAAAGATTTCAATGGAAATTGCATATTCCAACGGAAATTCCTACGGTAAAAAGCCGTTGGAAATATAGCCGTTGGAATCACCAAATTTCATCTAAAATTTCAATGAAAAGCACATTCCAACGGAATATTTCCGTTGGAATTTCCGTCGGAACCATTCCAACGGAAGCTATACCATTTGAATATCCGTTGGAATTTCCATTGAAATATATTACCACAGGATTTTCCGTTGGAATATAACAATTTTTTTGTAGTGATCCTTTATCAGTCGGTCTAAATCACCCTTCCGGATCGGTTCCGATTTCGAGTCAACCATGGGGCCAATTCGATATGAAAAATAATGATCTAGAGCATGAGAAGGTCAACGCCCGTAACCCCACAAGTCTGTATACAATATTCGGTTTCGTATGTACTAATAGGGTTGACCTGTCAGAAATTATTTCGTACAAAGGATTAGTGGTTTCATTCAGATGAAGGGCACATCAGATATGATTTCGATCCTTTGTTTTGTTTTGAGTTAAAGTGTGTGTGTGTGTTTTTTGTACCAAAAAAAAAA